AGAGAGAGAGAGAGAGAGAGAGAGAGAGAGAGAGAGAGAGAGAGAGAGATGTTATACAGGCGGGGTGGGAATAGGGCGAAGCGAGCTAAAGAAGCGTTGAGGCACCTCAGAGAGGTCGTTTTGCATGTTCTGTCACGGTTTGGATTTTAGAGAGATGGAGAGACGCAAACAGTACAGGGATGTAGTGTATTGCTGCACAGGTGGGCGGGAAACGACCAGACGAAAAGAGGGGGGAGAGCGATGTTGTGCCACATTTTTCCTTTCTTGCTTAGGAAGGGTTTTGGGTTTGTATGTAGGAAAACGTGTTTTGCTTGTTCTGCAGGCTTTGAGTTGGAATGAGAGCAGTAGCGCGGGCTAGCCAGCCAGCTACACACAGAGTCCGACGGAACAGTCTGGCACAGTCACACACAGAGAGAGAGAGAGAGAGAGAGAGAGAGAGAGAGAGAGAGAGAGAGAGAGAGAGAGAGAGAGAGAGAGAGAGAGAGAGACTTTGTCTTATAGCCGTTGACTAGACATAATTTCAATAATATAGCCCGTCTATTGCAAAATTTTCACTCATGGTTCTCGCGACTGGGATGTTTACGATAACCACATGTTGTGGGTTAGTTCACGTAGCAGTCAGCTTCTCTCTGCTGTGAAATGTGAAACGTGGAGAGAGATGGTGATATATATTAAGGGTGTCGGTGATTCCAGTTGGGGAGGGTGGGGGTTCTTAGCGGGCGGGAAGGCAAGGTGGTGGGATAGGTTATGGAAAGAGACATGCTTGAGGGTTGAGAGCTGCCCTTCATGGTCCTGGACACACGAGAGAGAGAGAGAGAGAGAGAGAGAGAGAGAGAGAGAGAGAGAGAGAGAGAGAGAGAGAGAGAGAGAGAGAGAGAGGTGCAATGCTGATCGTATTGGGTGAGGTGAAGGGGATGTAGTTCCGGTCGGATCCATCATGGTGGTATTGAGGAATGGAGATTTGGTACGAGTCCTGAGTGAAGGAAGCGAGGGCCTGAGGAATGACGAGGAGGAGGGATAAGTAATCGTTTTCAGGCAGAACCTTGCTGTGGTCTCAGATGATGACACAGGGAATGTGCGGTGGGGTTCTCGCTGCTGGCTGTACTTGGGGCCCGTTCCGGGGGACGGGTGTTTTGGTGCTTTTGCGGTCTTTTCCAATTAAAGGTTGTCTTAATTTGCTCGGGGTAGCCGTAGTTGAGGGATGTGGACTGGTGATTGCTATTTAGGAAGTCAAAGGCAACAACCCTACCTTCTTCGCCCGAATACAACGTACGGTCACAACGGCTGTATTTGGGGTATCTTTCAGTCTAAATGCGCAGCAGTAATGACCATACGTCGTATTTGGGTGGAGAAGGTAGATTGGCAATGAATCATTGGGATTGGATACCCCACGATGGAAGGGGAAGCTGGGTCCCTCCTGACATTCGGGAGTGGAATTGGACCCCTCTCATTGGGAGGTGAAAGTTTGACCGTCTTTGGGAGTGGAGGTTGGACCCTCTACCGCCTTCAGCCGATTACAACGTACAGTCATTATAGCTGAATTTGGGACAACTTTCAAGTCTAGTTGCAGCGATAATGACCCTACGCGCTTTTCGGGGGACGATGGTTGTTGCTTCTCCCTCTTGTTGCTTCTCCGTCTCAACATTGGAGTGTGGAATCAGGAGCCTTCACTTGTAACTGGCCTTCCCTTCCGCACTACTGCAGAAATCTCTGATCTGTGGCAAGGTCAAAGTTTGACTTCGCTCTGTCATCTGTGGCAAGGTCAAAGTTTGACTTCGCTCTCTCATCTGTGGCAAGGTCAAAGTTTGACTTCGCTCTCTCATCTGTGGCAAGGTCAAAGTTTGACTTAGCCCTTGGAGGAGGAATGCAGATCCTGCCGTTAGCGGTGGCTTTTGCTGCTGCAGCTGAAAAGTCACAAAAGCGTCTAGTCTCTGAATGATGAGAAAGGTCAAAGTTGGCTTTTGGAAGTAGCCGAAGTTTGACTAAGCCAGTGTAAATAGTCAAAGTCTGACTTGGCCACTGGTATTGGCTGCAGTGGACAAGGTTGACTTAGCCACTGAACATGGGCTGATAGTCTATTTTTTTTTTTTTTTTTTTTTTTTTTAATAATAAGACCAATAGTCTAGCTTAGTCCTGGAACTGTCAAAATTTTGACTTAGCCACTGCAAAATGCCAAAGTTGATGTTTTAGCGATTGTAGGCGGTCAAAGCCAGTCTGACTAGGACCAGTCACGGGAACTGGCCCAAGATGGCGCTGCGGTTTTTCCTGCAACGCATGTTATAATTAGAAAAAGCGCTAAGAAAAAATGGTGTTGTGCGTTGTCATTATGGACGGCCGGGTGGACGTGATCCTTCGGAGAAGGTTGTGACGAAAAGCCTCCGAAGTTTCACTTAGCCATTGTAAGTGTCCCAAGTCTGACTCAACCATGGCTAGCCTTTGGTAATGGCGAATGTTCGACTTAGCGAATGGAAATGGGCAAAGTTTTGACTTTTGGCCAGAGTTTTGAGTTTTGGCCATAGTTGTGACTTTTTTCTCAGAAGTGGCTCAAAGTTTGACTTAGCCATGGTAGCTTGAGTGGGAGTGGAGAGACAAAAACCCTACTTCTGTTAATTAGTGTGCGCGCCTGGGTGCTGGAACTTGTGTGAGTGGCACTGTTTTCTTTTGCTCCTCTCTGTCCAAGCCCTATATACATTTGAGTAGTTCTAAGCCTCTGCCTTTTGGGAGTTACACTGTTGTACATATAGTGGAGGGAATACCATTTATGTTTTCAAACCACCGAAAAAAAGACTTGGTCTGCGTGTTGACCTGACACCATTCAGTTTCTGTATGTCATCCAGTTTTCTAATGACAAAAAGTCTGTGTACTAACGATTTTACGTTCACGCTACCGGGCTTACACACCGTTGGTGCAAGGCGTAAGGACAGCCCTCCTCTGCATGTTACCAGTTTCCTGGTTAGATTCATCCGCAGTCAGCTCACCATAGCAGAGCTTGTGAAGATGGTAGTGTATCTGTGTAAGGATATGCCAGTTCTTCGAATATAGAGTGACAAGGAACCCTGTGGTATAGACAATGGCAGCGGCGATAGGTTTTTTATTAGGCTACCAGAGTGGCCTGGGGTCACTTGCCTGGCCGGGCCAAAAAAAAAAAAAAAAAAAAAAAAAANACCTCTAGCCCTGTTCATATGTATCTTGCCTCCTCATCTCGTCCCGCTCCCCACCCTCCCCACCCTTCCTATGAAACACCCGCGGACTCGTCCGCGGGGTCGAGCTCGGATCGCGGACCCAAATGGGTCCGCATCCGCGGCCTACCTCGTCCGCACCGCGAACCGGATTTTACACGAATTTTCCTGAACTAAATAATTGGTACAAAACACAACAAAACATATAGGGTTGTAGGGAATTTTAATCCCTACAACCCCATATTTTTCATTTTTGAATCCGGCTTTGTTTAGGATTTAAAAAAAATCAAAAACGAAATTGTATTAAAAGAAAATTAAAAAAATAAATATAAAAAAAAACAGAATTTTTTTTTGTCATTTTTAATCATGAGATATATGGTCCGTGAGTTTACCTGTAATTTTTTAGAAATAAATTTATGTTTTTTGCAGAAGTACTAGGTGTTTTGAAAAAATTGAGATGCAAAAAAAAAAAAAAAAAAAAAAAAAAAGGTTTTAAATTTTAATTTCTATTCTAAAGGAACAATGACTTTTTAAAAGCCGGGAACCGGGCCCGGTGTCCCTTACAAAATTAGGTGGGGCCCTCAGTGGGCAAGGCATCATCGGCCAAACACACAAGAGGACACCACCCCACACCCAACTCCACAACCAACTCCACAATGTGACCCTGAGGCAAAAGTTGTTCAGTTCAGTTTTCTGCATAACATAGTTTTTTTCCGGGTCTTTTTTTTTTTTTTTTTTTGGCTGGGACCTTCCCTGGTCCTTGCACGGGCTGGCCAAGTAAAAAAAAAAAAATGATGACTCCAATAGAATGCAGATGCATTGTCTTTCAATATCAGGGTTGTTCGAATAGAACGCACATTCGTTGTATTCGAAAAGAAAGCAACCTATGCGTTATATACTATATTCGTTTACAATGCACATGCGTTACGTTGGGGGGGAGGACGGTAGCGGTGTTATGCTCATAACAGCCTCATATGCTAAGAAAGCATAAATGAGGCCGCCTTTAGGACCAGGTTCGTGCCTTTGCTAGCAGGAATCTAACACCAGCTGTCCCCTGCCTATCTACATCATTTTTATTTTATTTTATTTTATTTTTTTAAAGACTCAATAGACCATGGTAGGTAGGGTGATATGAGAGCATCCCTCCCTATCATGATCTATGTGTGTCACTCCATCTATTGGTGGGGAGCTGCACCTGCTGGAAAAGGGGTCCAGTGTCTTCTACAACAACTTTGGCTTGTGACAAAAATAAATAAATAAAATGCAGAAATGATGAGAGATACCAGGTTTGAGCCTATTCACCCCAAACAGGGTGCCAGATGTGATTTTTCAGTTCTAGCTTTCTATGGAACCTGATCCCATCCTTGGGATAATCCCTGAGAGAACTATGGCTATTGTATCTCCCACTCAGATCTGGGGAGCATCCAAGGTATCCTTTTTTTTTTTTTTTTTTTTTTTTTTTTTTTTTTTTTTTTTGGGGTCCCCCAGGGTGTATCTTTTTTTTTTTTTTTTTTTTTTTTTGTGGGTGCTCACAGGACCCTCGCCTACCTACCTCATCTTTCTGCTTCCTCAGCGTAACCTCTGCTTCCTCATCTAGGGGGGCACTTGTTTGGCCCTCTCGGGTATACCAGACTGCAGTTGCACACACCAGCCCTAGGCCATGACAAACCTCTCCCAGCCCTAGTTGAAGCACTATCGAGCGAGCCTTGTCGCACGGGCACTTAGGTCGCCAAGCATGTTCGTTCTTCGTTTTTTTTTTTTCTTGTGAGCACCAGACCAGGTTGGTCGGACAGCGAATATTCCTTAGAGCCTTCCCTAGGCAGTGTCTAGTGGTTCTACCCTGACCAAGATCTTACCTGAGACAGCCCTTCTGACCCAACCCGGGCGCCATGTTTCCTAGCATAGCCTACTATTATTGCCGTAGGGGTTGTGTTATTGTTCATGCTGAGGGGGCAAGGTTATCGGTTCCGTAACCCGCACCAGTTCGTTGTAGGGCCAATTCCTGCCAGGGAAGACCTCCGGCCCATCCCCCCTTGCACCCTCAGTTGGTTATTATTAGTCATGAGTTATGATCCCCGGCTAGTTCGGAACCGAATGTTTCCACGGAGCCACCCTAGGCAATGTCTTACCTAAGCCAACTCTAGACCAGTCTGGGCGCCTATTAGGATGATGTTACAGTTGGTATGAGTGCCACTCTGGGCCAGTCCGGAACCGAATGTTTCCACGGAGCCACCATAGGCAGTGTCTTACCTAAGCCAGCTCTAGACCAGCCTGTGTGCCACTCCAGGCTAGCCCGGAACTGAATGTTTCCTTGGAGCCACCCTAGGCACTGTTTTACCTATGCCAACTTTAGACCAGTCAGAGTACCTATCGGGATTATTTCATGGTTGGATTATATGGTCCAGGCTAGTCCGGAACCGAATGTTTCCACGGAGCGACCGTAGGCAGTGTCAGTACCTAAGCCAACTCTAGACTTAGTCTAGCTTGTGTGCCACTCCAAACTAGTCCGGAACCGAATGTTTCCTCGGAGCCACCCCAGGTAGTGTCTTGCCTAAGCGTACTCTAAACTACCTTGTGTACCTATCAGATATTGACATGACGAATGAGCGTAGTATGGAGGGGGCAGGGTTATCGGTCCGTAACCGTCGCACCAGTTCGCCACAGGGCCGATTCCTGCCAAGGAAAACCTCCAGCCCATCTCCCCCTGCGCCCCCCCCAGTCAGTTATCAACTATCAGTTATGTGTTATGTGTTATGAGTATTGGAGTTGAACCCATGACCTCCAAGTTACAATATTAGAGCTCTACCCACTGAGCTATTGAGGTCATTAGTCAGTAAAGGTCCTATGTCAGGCTCGGGGCAAGTACGTGGGGTGCAATCTACACCAACCAACTGTGCTCGGGGAAAATTGCGGTTTGACAAAGTCGAGTCGAACCCGCAACCTCCCTGTTGCAACACTAGAGCTTTGTCCACTGAGCTACCACGCACTTGCTTTTTACCAACTGACCGTCTCGAAGGTAAGACACCAAGCATGCCACAGGCACTATCGTGGGGCCAATGGGAGTTGAACCCACGACCTCCTGAGTGCTGCTTGAATGCCTTACCAACTGAGCTACACCTAGTTAACCATACCAAGACAAAAGGACAATAGCATTGGGGGGTGGGGGAAAGGGATTGAGAAAGTCCTGCATTGAGGGAAAAGGGAT